GAGAGACAAGACTGAGAAACTGTAATGTTGTTAATGATTCAATGTGAAATTTTGTTTGCATTTTCCCGGGATAATCTATTCACCCCGTTAGTTGTTTGAATATGTTATCAGCAACACACTACTACTGGCATTTGTCAGAATCCACAAAGTCGTGTAGGAAGTGAAGCTAAAAAGATATATCGGATTGATCGATTTAAGTTAAACACAATAATTACCAGTACAGTATACACTTTACATCCAAATACTGTATAGTACTGTAACATGATAATGTACTGAGCAGAAGGAGGGAGGGAGAGAGGGAGAGAGGAAGGGAAGGAGGGAGGGAGGGACGGAGGGAAGCAACACGGCACTCTGGAAGGAGGAAAGAATGGAAGGGAGAGAGGAAGGAATGAAGGAATGGAGGGAGAGAGAGGAAGGAATGAAGGAATGGAGGGAGAGAGGAAGAGAGGAGGGAGGCCACACGCCACTCAACCATCTCACCTCCAGGAGTTTATTTTCCCTCACCACCACAAGTAAACACAGCCTCAACTATTATGTTACCTCACCAGGGTAGGAGCAGGGGGGTGGGGTGAGGGGGGTCAAGGAAGATCACTGTTCTATACGTTATCGATAGGTCGAGACATGTGAGGTCAGGAAAGGTCATTAACCAATTACAAATAAACAGGTCAAGAAAAAGGTCAATTATCAGGCTAAAAATAATCAGAGGTAAATAAAAACAATAGGAAGGTATGAAGGCAGAGGTAAGAGGAGTGACGGAGGGAGGGGCTGTCATCACCGCCTGGCTATCATGACCGAAATACGCTGAGTGAAGACTTGGCACCTTTCACCTCACCCTTCACTGTGGCCTTACCTGTGGCCCTCCACTGTAAACGCTTCTGCGCTTCACCTTGCAATGGGTGTAAGGGGGTGCCCAAAAAACAAGCCCCCTCCGGAGCAATCTAAAAAAAAAAAAAAACATGTGGCCCTGTATCCATGGCCCTACCTGTGGCCCTGTATCTATGGCCCTACCTGTGGCCCTGTGTCCATGGCTCTACACTTACAGTACGTGACCCTACACCCGGTTACACCACTACACTCAACACTTAATTCATACACTCACCCACCTCCTACATCACTACACTTACCCTACACACACTCACACCCTAGCTAGAGCCTAGACACACACTCACACACACCCTAGACACACACTCACACACCCTAGACACACCTCACACCTAAGCTAGAGCCTAGACACACACTCACACACACCCTAGACACACACTCACACACCTAGACACACACCTCACACCCTCGATACACACTCACACCCTAGACACACACACACCAGACACACACACTCACACACCTAGGCACACTCACTCACACCCTAGACACACACTCACACACCCTAGACACACTCACACCCCTCGATACACACTCCACACCCTGAACTTTTTACCTGGTTACACACTCACACACCCTAGACACACTCCTCACACCCTAGACACACACTCACACACCTAGACACACACACACCAGACACACACTCCCCACACCCCTAGACACTTGCTCCACTCACACCTAGACACACACTCACACACCCTAGACACACACACTCCCACACCCTAGACACACACACACACACACCCTAGAGCACACACACTCACACACCTAGACACACACTCACACACACCCTAGACACACACACTCACACACCCTAGACACACACACTCCCACACACACACCTAGACACACACACTCCCACACACCTAGACACACACACTCCACCCTGAACACACACACTCCACACACACCCTAGACACACACACTCCACACACCCTAGACCTCCACACACACACACCCTAGACACACACACACACACCCTGGAACACACACACTCACACACCTAGACACACACACTCCCACACACCCCTAGACACACACACTCACACACACCCTAGACACATGTGGTTGACTTGGTCATCGTCAGCAGCAACAGTAAGGTAAGGTATAAATATATATATTATAAGTAGGATATATATCAGCAGACGCTACCACCACTACCACACCTACTACCCACCACTACCACCACTACTACCACACCACCACCACTACTACTACCACCACCACTACTACCACCACTACTACTACCACCACTACTACTACCACCACCACCACCACTACTACTACCACCACCACCACCACTACCACCACTACTACAACAGTCACCATCACACTACACCAGGTTAGGTTAGGTTCACCATTAAAATTAACTACACTACATTAAGGTCTAAACACCAATAACTAAACAATGGAACAATCTCTTTAACTCCGTCTGGTTAATGTACCGATATCGTAACGTTAGCCTTGGCCTTTATAAAACAAAGTGCTTCCGATAATGAACTGCTTGTGTGAGTTAATGCATTTACCCAGAGCTGTGTGTTGGTTAAGTAGTAGTAGTAGTAGTAGTAGTAGTAGTAGTAGTAGTAGTAGTAGTAGTAGTAGTAGTAGTAGTAGTAAAACATAATACACACACACACACACTACAACTACCACACAGATAATTAAACCATAAACAATAGGCCTTCAAAGATGTCATTATAAACATTGAAGAAAATATAAAATAATTCAGGTTTTATGAAGTACAATTTATTTTCACCATCTCACCGTCACCATCACCATTACCCCCATTCACAATCACCCACACCATCACCATCACCCTCAACATTACCCTTTACTGACACCATCCTTCCACGAACACCATCCCAGCGAGGCTCCAGGAAGCTGCTGACCTCCGGGAAACAGGTAAATAAAATATCCCGACTCTCACAGACAAACAGACACACTCCATAGCTCGCTACACTATACATATATTCCTACAGCTTTTCTTTACATATATAATCTACATATTAATACATATTTCCTGTAGTTTATGTATTATTTGTCATGTATGTTTTAAGTTATATGTTTAAATACGTTTATACATTTATATATATTTCAGACAATATATTAACTAACTAATGTAACTTAATCTAACCCAAATTTGTTTAAGTTAAGTTAAGCAAAGATAAGCTAAGCTAACCCAACGCAACTATACCTAACTTAATCAAACACAAAGGTGGAGTTTCTTATCGAGGTAAACTCAAAACGTGATTACACACACACACACACACAGAGCGAGGGGTTAGTAAGTGTGTGTGAGTGCCACGTGGCAGGCACAGTGCCAACACTCAACCACTACTATCATTACTATCACCCCTCACACTCTCTCCACTTCTCTCTACCTCACACACTTCCCTCTACCTCCCACTCTCCCCTCTACCTCACCACACTCTCTCTACCTCACCCACACTCTCCCCTCTCCCTCACCACCTCTCCCCCTCCCTCCCCTCCCCTCCACCTCCCTCTCCCCTCTCCCTCCCCCTCTCCCCTCCCCCACTCCCACTCTCCCCTCTCCCCTCCACCACACACCTCTACCTCACCACTCCTCCCCTCCCACTCTCCCCTCACCCTCTACCTCCCCACACTCTCTCCCTCTCCCCTCACCACCTTACCCCTCTCCCTACACCACACTCTCCCCTCCCCTCCCTCCTCTCCTCTCTCTCTCTCTCTCAGTCTTGGAGTAACATAGTAGCTTACAACCTTTCTCTCTCTGTGCGTGTGTGTGTGTGTGTGTGTGTGTGTGTGTGTGTGTGAAGGCCACCAGGCATGCACTACACATCGGCAGCTGGACATTCACCAATCAAAATACACCAAAGATGTCAACAGCTGCTCGCAACCACCTCCTATTACCACCACTACCACCATCATCACTACTACCACCATTGCTACCATCACCACCTACTGTAGTCTATCACCACTACCACTATCTAGCCTATCACCACAATTACCCTCATCATCACCACCTTTACTGACTGACTGACAGAATTTTCTCCCTTCACGCCCTACTCTATCACGCTCTACCACCACCACACACTGTCCAATCACCATCCAGATATATTTTATAGTTTAATCCACGCTACAAACTCCATTTGAATCGTAAATAACAACAAAATCAATAAACAAGCACATGACTCAAAACACCTGACGCATATGACTCAAAACATCTGACGCACATGACTCAAAACACCTGACGCACATGACTCAAAACACCTGACGCACATGACTCAAAACACCTGACGCACATGACTCAAAACACCTGACGCACACGAGACTCAAAACACCTGATCGTGATGCATTTCTAATTTTACAATATTAAATTCATAATAAATAAATATATAAAAATCACCAAGCGAGATATTAAACCAGCCTCTAAAAAAAATTAACTACATATAAAATTACCTCCCCCCGACCCCTTAAATAAAACACTATCCCCTTAAACCCCTAAAAAAAACCACAACCAATAAACCACAATTAGAGTATAAAACAAGAGAGTACTGGGAAGCGAAATACTAAACATACGTAAATTAAACCCCTCCCCCCTCAAGGCTGCAATTTGCAATCAGAATACAAACTTGGGGCAGAAACTCACTTCAAAAACTCAATTTGCATGGTGTTGTGAGGAGACTGCGTGGCTGAGGGAGGTAGGGAGAGAGAGAGCGAGAGGGAATGGAGAGGGAGGAAGGGAGGCAGAGAGATAGATAGATAGATAGATAGACAGACAGTTAGAGACAGACAGACATCCTATTACTGTCACCTCCAACACCTGATCACTTTCATCTTTGAGAGTAAAATAATACCTGGCTCACGTCTTGTCTTCCTTACCTGTAACTTGTAAATTTCCTCCATCGCTATACAAGTCTTTCCTCTTGGGGTAAATATCTGTCTAATTAATGTTTATTTCTCTGTTAGTCGTCAATTTATGTTTAAAAGTCTATAATGTTTGTTAAAAAAATGTATTAAGTGAGCAACAAGAATCATGTGGTTTAATATGAGAGACGTCATATGGTTTAATCCCACAGGAATCCTAGGGTTTAATCTACTAGGGAGGAAAAAACAGACAAAAGGAACTCAACACTCACGCATCCTGCAGGATTTCACAGGGTCCTTCACCTCCCTCGAGCGGCGGACTCTTCATGATGGTGTTGGTCTTGGTCACAGCATCTCCCGAGGTGTAAGGGCGCCTCATACACCGCCCTATTCCTCCTTATACACCGCGTGGCTCCCTCACTCACGGGTCAACACACTTCACTAGCTTCTTCACTTTATTGTTCGTGAATAGTGTATAACTTCACTATACTCTATATACGTGTATAGTGTATAAGTCCACTATCTTCTCTTTAATTCTCGTGTATGGTGTATAATCTCACTATTTTCTTCACTTTATTGTTCGTGTATAACTTCACTATACTCACTTATTATCCATGTATAGTGTATAACCCTCTATACAGTTTTACATCAACACCTCAACTAATAATTGTGTATAAAATTCTCTAAAAGTTTATTTCAATTCCCAAATACAGGAATTCTTAAACTAATTCTGTATTTAATCAGGGTAAAGTTACTTAATGTTTTTCTTTGTTACAGAATGTTGAGGGAAAACTTTGGAAATGTTTACAGTAATTTCTCGTAGTGTTGTCAAGTTTACTTTTTTTTAGTTTCAATGTTTATTAGAATCTGAAACGAAACATAAAATTACTTAATAAATTAAAAAGTTGTATACGCCTTATCTCAGCACCTCAGTATCTCAGCACCACAGTATCTCAGCACTTCAGTATCTCAGCACCTGAGTATCTCAGCACCACAGTATCTCAGCACCACAGTAACTCAGCACTTCAGTATCTCAGCACCACAGTATCTCAGCACCACAGTAACTCAGCACCACAGTATCTCAGCACCACAGTAACTCAGCACCACAGTATCTCAGCACCACAGTATCTCAGCACCACAGTATCTCAGCACCACAGTATCTCAGCACCACACTCAGCACTTCAACTCAGCCACAGCACTCAGGCACTGCATCTCAGCACTATCTCAGCACTCCACAGTAGCCTCTCAGCACTCAGTATCTCAGCACCACAGTATCAGCACTTCAGTATCTCAGCACTTCAGTATCAGCACCACAGTATCTCAGCACCACAGTATCTCAGCACCACAGTATCTCAGCACCACAGTATCTCAGCACCACAGCTCAGCACTTCAGTATCTCAGCACCACAGTATCTCAGCACCACAGTATCTCAGCGCCTGAGTATCTCAGCACCACAGTATACTCAGTGTTCCTTTTTTATCACTGAACATAACACATAACAGTCCGGGAAACAGTGAACAAAATCTGTACCTGAACAACTGAACAATCTACCATCTTATACCACCAAATGGCATCAACTTCATAAAGACACACAGTCACACACACACACACACACACACACACAGTCATACACACACAAGCAATAACCTGTAACATTATAGCTTGAAAATCTATCCCTTTCTTTTACTCAATCACAATCATTCTCATTCTCTCTCTCTCTCTCTCTCCACGTGTCCCCCATTTTACTCACAACACTGGACACACATTTCGAGTATTCTGTCCCGATGCTCTGGGTGACAGTTCATAGACCCGTGTCCACCTTAAATATCCGTGAGTCTAGCAGCCGTCTTCCCAGTCACATTGTGAATCCTACCGCGGTGACCTCACAGCCAGAGAGAAGCCTCACAACCAGGTAGAAGCCTCACAGCCAAGTAGAAGCTTCACAGCCAGGTGGTAGACTCACAGCCAGGTAGAAGCCTCACAGTCAGGTAGAAGCCTCACAGCCAGGTAGAAGACTCCACATATCACCGTGGTGGCAGAATGGTGAAACACCCGAAGCTGGTGATGTGTGTGTGTGTGTTCGTGAGCCTGGCGGTCCCTCGTTAACACCGTCGCTGGTCACCTTCTGCAGGAGAGAGAGAGAGAGGGGAAACATGTTATTGATCGGTGGTTCAGCACTTCATTCCTCGCGGTAAAAACACACTCAAACATTTTTTAAAAAGCAAAACTATTTTTTTTTACAGGTATGAAAGAAATCAGCTTGTGTGTATGTGTGCGTGTGTGTGTGATAGATAGATAGATAGATAGATAGATAGTTGCCTCACTTCCTCAACACACACACACATCTCCTCACCTGTCAAAACAGCTCGTTAACCCCGAGACTGTCTTTGTGGTGTTGGCCCTTATCTTCCTCTCCCCGCTCGACTCAACTCTAGATAACAGTCCTGGCAGCCCTTCCTAACTCCTAAATCCTTCGTAGGACTTCCCCATCCTAAATCCTTCGCATACGACCAATCCGACCACCCTGAATTCTTCTTTGGACTATTCTAAATCCTTCCGAGGGACATCCTAAAATCCTTCGTAACACCATCCTGAATCCCGACCATCCTACCATCCTAAATCCCTCGTAAGACCATTCTATAACCTTCCTAGGGCCATCTTAGTTCCTTCATAGCTCTATCTCTCTTTGACAGTGGCCATTCTTATATAAACACACGCGGCCATATGTCTGTTCACGCACTACCACCCTCCCTCCCTACCTACCTACTTCTCTATCTACCTCCGCCTACCTAACTCCATCTTATTTACTTCCCTCACTTCCTCCTCCTTCCCTCACTCCCTCCTCCTTCCCTCACTCCTCCTCCTTCCCCTCCCTCCTCCTTCCCTCACTCCTCCTCCTTCCCTCACCCCTCCCTTTCACTCCCTCCTCCTTCCCTCACTCCTTTCCTATCTACCTACCTCCCTCCTTCCCTCCCGTCCATTATTCCCTCCTAACTTTTAACACACAGGAGTTATGCTAAAGTTCAGAACACACACACACACACACACATTATTTACATATACTTAAAGCTGTTGAATACTGATGAAAACAATTAATTTGTACTTGTTATCGTGACATACTAGAATTATTAATGTGTTTATCACCTGACAGACCACCACTACTTCCGGGTTGAACTAACGAGGTTATCAATAATGTAACCCTGATATACTGCCATCCACACACACATGGGTTTAGGTTACACTACGACCGGTGTGTTTGTTGACAGAGTGTGGGAGGTAGAGGAGGGTGCCGGGTGAGGAGGCACTACCCATCCCACCTGGTGTGTGTGTGTGTGTGTGTGTGTGTGTGTGAAATATTAACCATCTTACGAACTTTTAAGACTCTGGGCCACAAAATCCATGGTAAGAAACTCGAGAGAGAGAGAGAGAGAGAGAGTTTACCCCCTTACCCCTCCCCGCCTGATCCCTCCCCCTGACTCCTAACCCTCCCTCCTCCCCCAGTCAACGGCGCTAAACACAGGGCGGTGGCACCAGGCCCCAGAATGTGGCAGTAATGGCCATCGGAAGTGCCACAACAACTATCACCTTGGCACTCTCGCCGCTCAGCTGGGCAGGGTACAGCCGGGGAGGGGGGGGAGGGAGGGAGGGAGGTACAGGGAGGGAGGGTGAGGAGTGAACGGGGGGGGAGGGGGAATAGAGGGTAAGTTCTCAACCACACACACTTATCACTTTCACTTTCAAAATACTGTATGCCTAATGTGTGTGTGTGTGTGTGAGAGAGAGAGAGAGAGAGAGAGATAACACTAGCTTTAACTTGCCCTTGACCTGGTCTAGTGGGAAGCTAGGTCATGGAGGGTGGCGGTGGCCGACATACACACACGCACAGTACAGGTATAGATACAACCACAGGTAAACATTAACTAGAAGACAACAGTAGGAGGAGGAGGGGGTCAAGTATAAGCTCATGAAGGAGGAGTTGTCGTATATTATAATCCCAGGTACAGGTGTTAATTATGTGAGGTGTGTCTGACAGGTGAGAGCAGTTCCTCGTTCCTGTGTACACTCTCACCTGTTCACTGATGTTGTAGGAGTCAAAATAGGGTATTGTTTTGACCTATTCACTATCTTTCAGAGGTCACGTGTGGGTAAACACTGTTATTTATAATGTTTATTTTTTTCGAAATTGATTGGGAGATTTCCTTTTGATGTGTGTGTGTGTGTGTGTCACCCTCCCACCCATCAACCATGCCATCCATGTACCCACCCGCCCTACCACCAACCCTCCCATCCACCCTGTTACCCACCCAACCAACCACCCAACACGCCACCCAAGACAGATATTGATAGCGCTGCCTGCGGGCGTTAGCAACAAGCAGCTGGTACCTAGAACCAGACAGGTACGTTGACTGTGGGAGAGGGGTGGGAGGGGAGAGAGGGAGAGAGAGGGAAGGGAAGATTGGAGGTGAGAGGTGAGAGAGGTAGGGAGAGGGAGGTAAGAAGTTAGAGGTGAAAGGGGGGGATTTGAGGCAGATGAAGGTGAAAAGTGAGAGGGGTGGCCCGGGGAGAGGGAGACTGAGAGGGAGATAAAAGGAGGCACTGAGAATGGTGTGAAGGAAGAGAAAGGAAGGGGGAGTGACAAAGAAAGGGGAGAGGGTAAGAGATCAAGAAAGGGGGAGAACGAGAAAGAAGTGAGGGAAAATAACGAGTGGGAAAAGAGGGAAAGATAAAAAAGGAAGAGAGGGACGAAAGGTTAAGATGAGAGGGGTATAACAGGAAGAAGAGGAAGTAGGAGGAGGAGGACGTGGAGGAGGGTGGATGAGAAGAGGAGGAGGAGGAGGTGGAGGTGCTGGTCTGGGAGGTACATGTATTAAAGCAGTGTTGGCAGGGCAAGAGAAAGACTCTACGGTACAACACTGATCTACGGTACAACACATCAACAATCATCATCATCACTATCATCAACAATCATCATCACTATCATCATCGTCACTATCATCACCGTCACAGTTGATCCGCATTGCAGCAACAGCAGGAACAGCCCCGCCACGAGTCCAGCGGTTAAATCAACAACAGCCCCTGCAGCATTCACCAGCAGGAGCTGTTAACTCATCCACCTCGGGGTGTGGTGGAGAGAGAGAGAGAGAGAGAGAGAGAGAGAGAGAAAGGAGAGAGAGAGAGAAAGGAGAGAGAGAGAGAGAGAGAATGCATTAGGCTGGGTCATGCGGGTGACCTTGGAGTGTGTTCCCCGCCTCCCCCCCCACCTTCCCCTACCATCCCCTTCCCTTGCCACCTCCCCCTCCCCCCCACCTTACCGTCCTCACCACTAAACTCACTGACTTAACTTAATTACCCCAATGACCTTGACCTGAGCCAGTAGGTGGGTAGTTGGCTGGTCAAACGGGCCCCAGTTCTTTACAGCCCCCAATCACACTAGACCCCAACCTAACCTAACCCAACCTGATCAGGGGATTAAGAAAAAAGATATGATGGTCAGAGGGAAGAGGAGGACGAGGGGAAAGGTGAGGAGGAGGAGGAGGAGGACAAGGATGGGAAAGGAAAAGAAGCAGGAGAGAGAGAGAGAGAGAGAGAGAGAGAGAGAGAGAGAGTAAGGCATTCAATAATAACACACACACACCAGGTTAATACAGTGTTATGTATGCAGAAGGAAGGATGGACAAAGACTTAGGTTACAACTCATGTATAAAGAATTAGCTGGCCCAGAGGACGAACACTTCTTTATTTACTTACAACTTAAACCAACATAAAACACGACCTTAAAACCTAAAACTGGTGATGTTCTTTGAAACTTATGACGTCATTGTTACTTAAAATTGGTGATGTCATTATTACTTAAAACTTAAAGTGAG